GGAGAAAGAAAGAAAAAGGGTGAGGGGTTTTTGAGGGAATGAGTTCCACCCTCTGCCCTTCTATTATGTGAGGACATAGAACCAAAGTTGTGCTTTGACCTTGAACTTGCCAGTCTACAAAACTTGGACAAATTAATTTGTTAATAAATTGCCCAGTCTAATGAATTTGGTTACCATAGCAGGAAGGTACCCAGTCATCTGAGAATGCCTCCATTTCTTCCCGCTTTGGGATGGACACCTGTACTGGTTCTAGGATTCTTGGCTTCCAGAGTATATCTTTTATCACTTTGAATGTTTCAACACACTGTTTTGTGCTCTAGTGTTTCTAAGCAGAGATCTGATGAAGACCTTATGGGGAAATTATGATGAGCCCTTTCTCCCTGTCAACCCTGTAGGTGTGCCTACCATGCTCTAGAGGGTCTTAGGAACAGAGCATTGTTATATTATAATGATGTGTGTGAGGTGCAACCATCCTTTTGACACCCATTATTCAGTGTTGGATAGAAGAAAAAGAAGTGGGATACCTTGAATGTAGATCTGATGAGGTCTTTCAATGCCAAAGTGATTACAGACTTCTAGACTTGAAATGAAAAGTCCATTGACTACTGTACAAATTTTAATTAAAAAAGATACATGTCAGTTTCTATAACCCATTGAATTGAAAAACTTCTGGATTCCTTTCTGATTCTTACTGTGAAAGTGGCCTAAAGGGAGATGGCCAGTGTGGGTGATGTCCAGGCGTGACCAGGACATTTCTCACCAATGTGAGCGAATTTCAAACACTGGATGTATAAGAGGGTGGCTGCAGCTGGGTATTTGTCCATAAGTACAGGAAGCTCTTGGTGGTGACCTGTTGGACTCCCAGCTAGTTAGCACATTTGTTTGGTGGTTGGCCGTTGGTGGTTATGGTCTTTGGAGATTGGTTCTTTGATTTGGGTTTCTTGTTTAGTCTTGTTTTTTTTTTTTGGTTTGTTTGCTTTGTTTTATTTATTTATTTATTTATTTTTTAGGTAGCATCCTTATTTGGTGTTCCTGCTTAGGATGCATAGTGGTGAGACTAGTGTAGTGTCGCAGAGGCCTTATTCCTGCCAGGAGAAGGCCTTCACAGACCATTACCAGGTCTTGAAGGACATTGGGTATGGATTGTTTTGTCAAGTCAAACTAGCTCGCCATCTGCGCACTGGAGCTGAGGTGGCAGTGAAAGTCCTGCCAAGGAGCATGTGGAAGACTTTGGTCCTCCCTGAAATACGGGCAATGAAGACCCTGAACCACCCGAACGTGATCCAGCTCTTTCAGGTGATTGAAACCTGCAAACAGATCTACATCGTGATGGAGTACGGGGTTAGAGGAACTTTATTTGACCTCATCCTGCCTGGGGGCATGCAGGAGAATGAGGCCAAGAGACTGTTTAGGCAGATCACGTGTGCGGTGTGCTACTGCCACAAGATGCACATCTTGCATGGAGACCTGAAGCCCGAGAACATTGTGCTGGATGCCAAAGGCAACATCCGAATCATCGACTTTGGCTTAAGCACCATGTTCAAGCCTGGGCAGAAGCTGACCCAGTTTTGGGGCACTCTGGAGTACCATGCCCCCGAACTTGTGCGCAAGGAAGTACATGAGGGTCCCCCAGTGGACAGCTGGAGCCTGGGTGTCATTTTGTATTTTATGTTGACTGGACACCGCCCATTTAAGGCATCCAGCAAGAAGAGGCTAAGGAAGAAGATCTTACACCCCAAGGTGAAATTTCCCCAGCATGTCTCGGCCGAAGCACAAAGACTCTTGAAGAAAATCTTGATAGTGGACCCTAGAGCAAGGCTCTCGGTAGAGGAAATCTTGGCGGACCCGTGGCTGAATCAGGATGAGGAGAGTTTATCTTACCATGATGTGCCCCTCCCCAACTTCTCAGACCCCACAGTACTGACAATGCTATTCGACATGGGGTACGACCCTTACAGTACCTGGGTGTCACTGTCCCAGAAAAAGTTTGATGATGTGATGGCTTCCTATCTCATAATCCAGCAGCAGATAAGCCAGGGGGCAGGCTGCATGAAGCCTGGGAGAAGGGATCCTTCCATTTTCCCTGCCCTCCCGCAGAGGAGGGCGAGTGAGCCTGCCCTTCACACCTTCCCCCTGCCCTGTGAGCATCATCAGTCTCAGGAGGCCAAGGAGTCAGGGCAGAAGGGCTTCAGAAGGGCCAGCTGGCCTGCCATTAGTCTCTGCTTCCTGCATGAGAAGCCCCCTACTCCCAGGTTAGCCTCCCAGCATCACTCTATGTTCAACTCACCCCAACCCTGGCCATCAACAGACAGCCATGTCACCCAAGATGCCACCACAGGGCGTCCCTGGGGCCACAGGAAGGGCTGGAAGCCGGTGAGGCAGAGGATCGCTGCCTCCTTTCGCGTACTGTGCTGTAGCACATCCTCATGTGTTGGCGAAAACGAGACTCCTACAAGGAGATTAGAATCCTATGTTACTACAGTTCAGATGGACCAAACGAAGAAACAGCCTGCCAGAGGACCTTTTGCTCTGTGGATGCTGTCATCACTATGTGGGCATTGGTCATGTGGACCCCAACAGCTGCAGGACTGAGAGCACACTGGCTGGGCTTCTCCACATAGGGTCCAGCCAGGAGCACACCTGGATCTACCTGGACATCAGGCGTCTCCCTTGCCTTCACCTGCCAGGGACATCAGATGAGACTATTTACCCTGGGACCCTTCCCCTACTCTGCTCTTCTCTGTCCTCTCTACCATGCTCTTGTTATGGCAGAGATATTTCTTAATAAATTTGTTTCTCTCAAATTGCATAGTCAAATTGATATTCTAAAGATTAAAAAAAACCTGATCTAACAAACGGGGTGGGGGGGTGTCTGTGAGTGAGGGCTGGAGCCCACCAGGCATCCTTTCTAAGGCCTGCACCACTGTGCCTCCCTCTCCTGTTCAATGTACAGAGACCTACTCACCTTGAACCAGTGCAGATGAGGACTCACTCGCTTTAGCTTGTGTACAAGGGAACACACTTACCTTTAGCCAATGTAGATGGGGACTCACTTGCTTTGATCTAGTGCCAGTGGAGACTTGTTCCCATTAAACTAATGGATGAATATTTTGACTTAGAGCCAGTGTAGATATGAGTGACTTTGATCTGGTAGCTTTTGGCAGAAGGAATCCCTCTCTGAGGTATGTGGAGAAGAAGGTGGGTGGGAACTATTGGAGAAATCATATCCGAGAAGATCCCAGAGTGTTCTATGGCATCATCTCCTTCATACTGTTTGCTAGGAAGTCAGAGGAGGGCCAGGGGTTAGGGGTGGGCCTGCCTGCAGCAGTGACTGTGTGCCTCACCACCTGCCATGCTGCCTCATCACCCAAATCCTCATGGCTCCTGCTTGTGAGAAACTAATGTGACTCCATTTTTGAGAAACCAGCCTCTATCTCAGAGCAAAGCCTGTCCAGGAAGGGGGCATGACCCTTGTCCTTGGAAAAACCCACAGAGCACTCCTAAGCACATACCCACCCTGCTGAGTTGCTTGTCTGCAAATAATGAGAGACCTGCAGCGCCAGGTGTCCCTGACTCAGGCTAGGTGAGGACCCATAGCAACCCCCTAGTAACCACCAATCAGCATGAGACAGGGAAAATACCTGGGATGCCAGATGACCCCCCCCCCCCCACCCAGTAGTTTATGGTGGTTGATAACATGTTGGGAAACCATGTAGTTTTGTACATACACCCCTCGTGGTTTAAACCAATCAGTTCAAAGGAATCTCCCTCTTGAACTAACCAATCACCCCTACCCAACTTGTTCCCTCCAGTGAATGTGCTAATCAATGTTAAGAGTTGTTGTTTGGCTTTCCCGCGGTATGGAATGATTTGCTGTATGATGTTGTGATGCATAGAGTATCCCCCCAAAACCTATAAAATCTCACTTAACAAAGGACCAGGACTCACTCCCTGGGACTGCTGCATTGGAAACGGTTGTGAATCCTGGCTCGAGCCTGCAATAACGACTCTTGTGTGATTGCACTGGTTTCAGCTCCTGGAGGTCTATTGGGGTCCCATGAATCTGGCATAACACTAGAGGTAGCAGAGGAGGGAGCACATGGGATTTGGGGAGTCAGATGACAGGCCATCTTATGGATGCTATTTACATAAAAGCAAAGTGTACCCATGTGGAATTGCTCTTTGTTTTGGGTTCTCTTGATGCTGAAGTTTGTAAATTAAAGGGTGCCCAAATGAAGAGTGGGAATACTGTGTTGGCCAGGAGGGGAGGCTCTAACTCCTTCTGCCCTGATACCTTTACAGGACTGCGCCCCCAGAGTTTATCTGACAGTTTTTTCCTATTATTCTCTCAGTGGTCAGATATGGATACCTATTAAAAAAAAAAGTATGTCACATGTGTCATTTTAGTAGTTTGCTATTTTGTGATAGGGCTCTAGTTGTAAGGTTATCCGATGGAAGTTTTTTTAAAGAGAAAGTCTTCACACATTTTTCTATAGAAAAATCCCAATGGTGGTGAATCCCCCTAAGGCAAAGCCACTTCCCAGCTTGAGGCAGGGCACAGGGTGTACAGACAGGAAATGGCCATTTTCTGACCCAACCTTGGCCTAGGGAAGGGATTGCCTAAGAGCTGTCTGAAAGGTCACAATGTGCAGGGGGTTCTGGGAAGCAGGAGAGGCCTACTGAGGATCATGGAGGAGTGTCCTGGGGAGGAAGCCCAGGCCCAGGTGACAACTCCAGGCCCACACTGGGACAGTCACAGAGGTGTGCAGGGATCCTGGAGGATGGGAGGGAGGCAGTATAGAGGAGGAACGCCTTTTTGCATTTTGTGTGGCTTGTTCTCAGGAGCAGAAGGACATCCCAGCCCTATTTTGTATTTCATTTAAAGACAGGGTCTCATTGAGTTGCTTACGCTTCGCCATTGCTGAGGCTGGCTTTGGACTTCTGATCCTCCTGTCTCAGCCTTCTAAACTGCTGGGATTACAGGTGTAGGCCACCATGGCCAGCCAAGAAAAATGGATTTTAAACAGTGTATTTTTGAACTTAAATTATTTTTTCAAGCTGATACATCAAAACAAAAAGTATACACACGATGAGGTTTCGTGATATTTTAATACATGGGTACATTGTGAAATGTTTAGATCAGGTTAAACATACCTATTTCCTAAAACAAAATTTTTATGGTAAAAAAATTCAAAATCCTCTGTATTTTGCAGATACCCAGTTCATAACTGTTATATGTAGGTGTCATGTTGTACAAGAGCACCCCAGGAGTTCTTGCTCCTATCTTAATGGTGTCTTAGTACCCTTTGATCAACATTTCCCCATTCCTCCTCCCCCCTACTCTCCCCAATCACTGGTAAGCACCATTCTATTTACATCTTCTTTGAAATCAACTCTTCTAGATTCCATGCATTTGTGAAATCATGCAGCCTTTGTTTCTTGCACCTGGCTTACTTCACTTAATAATCCCTAGTTCCATCTATGCAGTCACAAATGCCAGGGTTTCCTCCTTTTTATGGCTGAGTGGTATTCCATTGTGTTTATGTAACACATTTTCTTTATTGGTTCAGCAGCTAATGGGTACTTAAATTGTTTTCATATCTTGGTTATTGTGAATAGTGCTGCACAATCATGGGACTGCTGATGTCTCTATGACACCCTGATTTTATTTCCTGTGGATATATCCCATTAGAGGGATAGTTGGATCATGTAGTAGTTACGTTTTTGAAATTTTGAGGAGCCTTCATACTATTTTCATAGTTTAGCTATTGTGAATTGAATGTATCATCATTGATGCTGTTATATTAGTATAGTATGCTGAGACATACTATATTAATATGGGTATAGACCGAGGAGTGGGATAGCTGGGTGAAATGGTGGTTCCATTCCAAGTTTTCTAAGGAATCGCCATACTGCTTTCCAGATTGGTTGCACCAAAATGCAGTCCCACCAGCAATGTATGAGTGTGCCTTTCCCCCTACATCCTCGCCAACAGTTACTGTTGTCTTAATAGCTCCATTCTTATTGGCATGAGATGAACTCTTAGAGTAGGCACAGGGTGTACAGACAGGAATTTGTATTTCTTTAATTACTAGAGATGTTGAACATTTTTTCATATATTTGTTGATCAATTGTATATCTTCTTCTGAGAAGTGTCTGTTCAGCTCTTTAGCTCAATTATTGATTGAGTTTTATTTTATTTTATTTTTTTTTTGGTGTTAAGTTTTTGAGTTCTTTATATATTCTGGAGATTAGTGCTCTATCTGACATGCATGTGGCAAAAATTTGCTCCCATTCTGTAGGCTCTCTCTCTTCACCTCATTGATTGTTTCTTTTGCTGAGAAGGAGCTTTTTAGTTTGATTGCATCCAGTTTACTAAACCTTTTCTTTATTTTTTTTTCACTTTAGGAGTCTTGTTAAGGAAGTTGGGGCCTAATCTGATGTGATGAAGATTTGGGCCTACATTTTCCTCTGTTAGGCTCAGGGTCTCTGGTCTAATTCCTAGGTCCTTGATCCACTTTGAGTTGAATTTTGTGCATGGTGAGAGATAGGGTTTAGTTTCATTTTGATGCATATGGATTTCCAGTTTTCCCAGCACCATTTGTTGAATAGGCTATATTGTCTCCAATGTATGTTTTTGGCACCTTCTCCAATGTATGTCTAGTATGAGATAACTGTATTTATGTGGGTTTGTCTCTGTGTCTTCTGTTCTATACCATTGGTCTACATGTCTATTTTTTGTGCCAATACCGTATCATTTTTTGTTACTATAGCTTTATAGTATAAAAGATCTGGTATTGTGATGCCTGCTGCTTCATTCTTCTTGCTAAGGATTGCTTTGGTTATTCTGGGTCTCTTATTTTTTTTAAAAATATTTTTTAGTTGTTGATGGACCTTTATTTTATTTATTTGTATATGGTGGTGCTGAGAATCGAATCCAATGCCTCCCGCATGCTAGGCAAGTGTGCTACCACTGAGCCCCAGCTCCAGCCCCTCTGGGTCTCTTATTTTTACAAATAAATTTCATGGTTTCATTTTCTATTTCTATAAGGAATGATGTTGGAATTTTAATTTGTATCACTTTGAATCTGTATAACGCTTTGGGTAGTATGGCCATTTTGATAATATTAATTTTGCCTCTTCAAGAGCATGGGAGATCTTTCCATCTTCTAAGGTCTTTTTCAGTGTGTTTCTTTAGTGTTCTGAAGTTTCTTCTGTCTCATTGCTCTGGCTAGAGTTTCAAGGACTATGTTGAATAGAAGTAGTGAAAGAGGGCATCCCTGGGTTGTTCCTGTTTTAGAGGAAGTGCTTCCAATTTTTCTCCATTAGGAATGATGTTGGCCTTGGTTTTAGCATAGATAGCTTTTACAATGTTGAGGATGTTCTTACTGTTGTCTTAATAGCTGCCATTATGGTTTTTCTAATGTTTGGAACATGAAAGGGTACTGTGTTTTGTCAAATACATTTTCTGCATCAATTGATATAATCATGATTCTTATCTTTAAGTCTATCGATGTGATGAATTATATTTATTGATTTCTGTGTGTTGAACCAATCTTGCATTCCTGGAATAAACCCCATTTGATCATGGT